TTTTGAACTTCTATATATTGCTAAATTATTTGTTTTCATTGATAAAGGTGAAAAATGATTATAATCTTCAAACCTGTACAATTTTTTATCTTCTATAAAATGTTCTTCAATCTTACAATTAAGGCAGTATTCGTATGCTTTGTGGAATATAGCTTTAAATTCAACGTCGCATATATACCAATGTTGTCTAAAATTTAATCTTCCTTAGTTACAGATAGAAAATAGTTGGTTAAATAATAAAGTTAATTATTCCTTACTTAGCAGAATCATCCTGATGTTGAAAGCATCATGCCATATAAAGGGGCTAGTTTCCCTCTGTGGGTGCCTCTTGACCCAGCTGGTTATTTCAGGGTTAAAATTTAGAATAAGGTTGTCATGGTGCTGCTTTGCCTAATCCTGCTCCCTTCTCAGTCCCTTGGCCACCATATGCCCGCAGCAGAACAAAGTCTGAAGACACAGATACTAGGTAATGAGGGTAATCTAAAACGTTAAGCATTTTGGTAATTCTATCATTTTTTTAATTTAAAGATAATTTAAATCAGACTGTTGAAAAACCAAATGTCACGCCTCCTGCCTCTTACACTTATAAAATGGATGAGGTTCAAAACCGAATAAAGGAAATACTAAACAAGCATAACAATGGCATTTGGATATCTAAGCTTCCACATTTTTACAAAGAGTTATATAAAGAAGACCTTAATCAAGGAATTTTACAACAGTGTGAAAACTGGCCTCATGTTTGCACGGTATGTTTTTGTTTATTCCTCCCTTCTGATACCTCTTCCCTGCCCAACTTTCAGATATTGAGTTATTAGTCATGTTACTTTTTATCCAGAGGGCACTAAGCAGTTTACATATGTTGCCTCATTAATCTTTATCTCTAAGATTAACATATGTCAGTTCTTATTTATAGAAGTATGTCAAGGTTGAGGGCTCTGGATTTTGTAATTGCTGTTTTTATATACTTTGTTTTAAATTATTCTAAAAATGTACTGACTATGAGATAATATACCATTTTGTATTGATTGAACTGTTACCAATAAACACTGATAGCTTTGCCATTTTAATAACTTGAACTTTCTAGTAATAATTATTTTTCTTTTATTTCAGCCTATTTTGGGGGTACAGATGTTTAGGTTACGTATGTTGCCCTTGGTCCCCCCCTCCCAAGTCTGTGTTTCAAATATGTCCATCCTTCGGGTGGTGCGCATTGCACTCCTTGTGTATACAAATACCCGTCCCCTCCTCCCTCCTCCCC